AAATAAAGGTGACTTGACTCGACTCAGTATTTTTGTCTGATTTTTTAGTAAAATATTTAAACATTCTTAAATCCAGATACTTTTACTTCTTATTTTAGTACCATTGAGATACTATTATAGATTATATTTATATTTTGAATCTTTGTTTTTAAATTTTCTTTTTTAATTTTAATTTTAAAAAAAAGTATTTTAATGTCGATATAGTTTTATTCATTCTTATTTCATTTTTACTTTTAATTACTAAATATTATTAAGTATTTAATTATTATTAAAATGAAAAATGTTGCTTTGGAAACTAGCCCAATTTTTTGTTATAGTTAACTATAATTATGTGACATAGAATAAGTTATAGGATAGGGTATAACGTCTAAAATTAAGTGACATGCTTAATCCAAAAACAAATATCTGTCAGTAGGGTCAGAAAAATAAAACTTGCTTTACTCAATTAACTTTGATAATTTTTCCAGAAACAATTTTGCTTCACAAGTAAAAGAATCTTGATTATAGGTATTTTTATTATACTGGAATACTGTAATTTATACTATAATACTGAGTAAGAATTTTTTTTTTTTTTTTTGCAGTGTACATATCTAAGCTAACAGGTTTCAGTGCTCATCTTCATCAACAATACACAAAATGCACAAACATGTAATTGTATTTTCAACATTCACAATTATAATGAATTATAATCAATATAATTGTCCTCAACTCAAGGCTCAAAGGAAAATTGGTAATTATGATATTGTGGCATTCAAGTGTGCTCATCTCATAAATGATTGCAATAATCATGATTGCAATGCTCCTCAAAGGCTGAATTTTACTAATGGATCTTATTATCACAGTGCTTCAGTCAATAAAACTAAGATCTCAATCGCAATCTGAAAATTATTAAGATTCAATCAACCTGGCCTGTAATGAGAGCTCATCTCAGGAGGGTTTGGCTTAAGCTGAGGGCAACAGGACTAATTACGCTCACATTATCTGGTTAACAAGGTCATGATCCCTTTAAACCCACACCAGTGATGGATGACATGATCAGATCATGATCTTCACATCATCCACTGACTCCGACATTCACTGCACAGAAGAAAAACAGACTGCAGTGCAAAAATAAAATTATATATATATAGTATTTATACATTATGGTAGTATTTGTTGTACTACTTTCCATTTATGCTGATTTAAGAAATAAAAGAACAAACGAATGAATGAATGAATGAATGAATGAATGAATGAATGAATGAATGAATGAATGAATGAATGAATGAATGAATGAATGAATGAATGAATGAATGAATGAATGAATGAATGAATGAATGAATGAATGAATGAATGAATGAATGAATGAATGAATGAATGAATGAATGAATGAATGAATGAATGAATGAATGAATGAATGAATGAATGAATGAATGAATGAATGAACAAATTTCATCTCACATTCGTTCATAAATAAAACACATGTATTATGTTTGTAAACATAATGGTAGTATGTACAAATGTACTGTTTGTAATTTATGCTGATTTTAAATGACTGATTGACTTACTGACTGAATGAATGAATGAACGAACGAACGAACGAACGAACGAACGAACGAACGAACGAACGAGCGAGCGAGCGAGCGAACATACAGACAAACAAATAAATTGTAAAATATTTATTCATTGTACTAACTTTAATGTAGACCGATTTTACACAAATAAATAATACAGAAATAAATACATCTATTTATTTAATATGTATGTTTATGTATAAATAAAAATGTATACATAAAGGTATGTACTACTGTTGTACTACTTTTAATGCATGCTGATTTTAAATAAATAAATAAGTAAATCAATGTATTAAAAATATTTTTACATTTGTAAAGTACACATTATGGCAATATTTGTTTTCATTAATAAACTTTTGGAAAGTATTTATATTATAGTCGTATGTCCTACTGTTGTGAAACTTGTAATTAATGCTGATTTTAAATGAATAAATAAACAAACAAACTATTTCATTATACATGAAGTACTGAGAATGCCTTTTTTCATTGCTCAAATGTTGCTTTTTCATTGCTTAGAAGATTTGCAGTTGAGACATGCAGTTCAATTAGCTGTCTCAATGACAGTGCTTGAGGGGAAATTAAAATTAGATGCAAACAGAGACAATAGCTGATATGCAATAAGAGAACAAAATGAACATTAACATTAACTTTAAAAAAATGAACATGGAGAGCAGCTTTATTATTATTTAATGAGAAATGTTTTGAGTTCATATTGAGATTTCTGACTTCTGATTGCAGAAGAATACAGAACAATAAAAAATTTTTAAAAAGATAAAATACATAACTCATATAAGGTGCAAAATACAAATAAAACCGTTTAAGAGACATAAAATGTCTCTTATTGTGTCTCTGTCTAAAACATAGACACAATAAAATAAATAAACAAAATGTTAACATCAGGTGTCAAAGGCCAAGGAGAAAAGATGGGTTTCAAGACACGATTTAAATAAAGACAATGAAGAAGCCTGTCTAATGGGCAGAGGCAGATCATTCCACAGTTTAGGAGCTGCCACAGCAAAGGCACGGTCCCCTCTAAGTTTACGCTTTGTTTTGTGCACATTCAGGAACAGTTGGTCAGCTGACCTGAGAGAACGAGTGGGTGCATAAGGGTGTAGCAGCTCAGAAATGTAGGGTGGGGCAAGACCATTTAGGGGTTTAAAAACAAATAAATAATTTTAAAATGGATCCAAAAATGTCCGGGCAGCCAGTGAAGTCAAGCTAAAATGGGGTAAATGTGCTCATATTTGTATGTTCCAGTTAAAAGATGCGCTGCAGCGTTTTGTACCATCTACAGACAAGTGACAGAAGCCCCACTAACCCCCACATACAGTGCATTACAGTAATCCAGCTGTGTGGTAACAAAGGCGTGGATTACTGTCTCAAAGTGTTGCCTCGGAAGAAATGGCTTTATTTTGGCTAGTTGCCTCAATTGGAAAAAGTTCAATTTAACAACTGCCCTGATCTGACTGTCGAGCTTAAGGTCAGAGTCAGTGATGTTAACCCCTAGGTTAGTGATGGTTGGCTTGATGTACTGGGCCAAGGCACCCAAATCAGCTGGAAGGGTCCCAGTGGCACCACCAAAAAAAATTTAAACTTCTGTCTTTTTTTCATTAAAGCTTAAAAAGTTAAGAGCCATCCAGGCCTTTATCTCATCAAGACACTCGAATAGTGGTCTGACGGTATCATTCTCTTTACAAGGCACATAAATCTGGCTATCGTCCGCGTTACAATGGAATGACAAGCCATGCTTCCTGATTATTGAACCAAGTGGAAGCAAATAAAGAGAGAAGAGAAGAAAAGAAAAGCGGGCCTAACACTGAGCCCTGTGGGACCCCACAAGAGAGAGGAGGAGAGGAGGACATAGAGTCACCAAAGCTGACACAGAAATTCCAACCTTCCAAGTAGGACCTGAACCATTCGAGCGCAATGCCCTTGATGCCAACCTACTGCTCCAAAGGAGAGATCAGAATTTCATGGTCCACAGTGTCAAATGCAGCAGTTAAATCAAGAAGCACAAGAATAACACAATCAGAGTCAGTAGCTAAAGAGATATCATTAAAACATTTTGAGATCTCTTTTGAAACAGACATGTGTGAGATTGTGGCCTCTTTTTCTCAGGAGAAACATCATGGTGATGCAGATCATCACATCGCTCCCTGGACACTTCACTGGCTGTCAGCGACTGCATCTGTCTTTATCTTATGAAATGAAAACAGCACTGAGGCGTGTCACCACTGGCCCACTGTCTCGCCTTAATTTCCTCTCTCCAGTGTGTGTCTGTGTGTTTGACATTTAGTCCAATCAGATCAGATGGAGCCAACTACAGTTCTCCAACTCACAGCTCATGATATTTACCACACATCTTATTGATATGATATTTAACACACATGCGTGAATGAAAAACAGCCCGTGCAAAACATGATTTCATGAGAAAACTGATGGTTTTCCATAGATATGAGTGTCAGTGTTGTGAGTCATTGGAGTGAGCGCTGAAGTTAGAACGTGAGGAAGTTGTGGAGCTGTTAGCATGCAGACAGCGAGTTCTCCATACACAGTCCACCAATCATGAGTTCAGCTGAGGTGAAGAACAGAAGCTCTCAGATACTTGATTAGACTCCAAAACTGAACACCTTGCCTCACCTCACGTCTCCAAACCCACTGTCTTCATCCCGATTGGATATACACCATAGCACTGAACGATTACTATAGTTACACAAGCTACAGCCAATATGCTTCAGATTTGTTTGTATTGTAGTGCACATTTATATTTTGTTCAGCCTTTGTGTTCGCTCTTTGTAAAGCCAGACATATGAAATAATAGGTCTAAATTCTAACTTAGTACCTTTAGACAAAAAGAAAAAAGTTTGCATGTGTGTTTTTTGTTGAGTATCATATTTCATACGTCAGTCTTTTATGGCTCATATAGTAAAATATTGTGAAAATATGGAGAAAAAATGCCTCAATTTTATTCAGAGACACAAACTGAGCAAAAATCTGCAATTTGGTGCAGATGCTGATATTTATAATAAGAACAAGTATGAAATTCTTGTCATGTAATGTACAGTAAATCAATAAGATCTTTATACTGTAACTGTATAGCAGATACTTAATAATATGAATATCAGTCGTCTCTATATCTCCAATAATATGTCTTAGTAAGATGATATTCAAATGCTTAGTTTGATGATCAAAGCATATAATGCAATGCCAGACAATGATGAATGAGAGATAAACAAATAAATAATCAAATTTACTTTTTCTCACCTTTTTAACTTCATATTTGATGGCGAGTTTGATGCGGCTCAGACAGGGCCTCTGGTGTTCTGTGGGCGGGTTCTGGTCCACATCACCGTTCAGAATGGCCTCCACTTCCTCTGTGTCACGACAGAGATCCAGAACACCTACCACAAAGTCCTTACACTGCATAGACAACTTCCTGTAGTCATTCTGACAGAGAGAAACACATAGAGAGAGAGTTTAGTCGGCAGGCCCCACCTGTCAATTAAACCCTGTTACCATAGTCACATATTCATTTGACTGAAGAAAATTAAGATATTTATTAAGAATGTATCCAATAAATTTGTATCTTTTTTGCATGTGGCTTTTTGAACTTCAAATAAAGCAAATAATCCTGAACAGTTTTCTCTCCAGGTAAATAAAACATCTAAAATCAGATGGCAGTGGAAATGTAAATTTACCACATGGAAAATTCTCATTAATTTGAAACAAAATAAAATAATACTTTTTTAATAAATACATATTTTTAAATAAATAAATATTATTATTTTTGATATTCAAAATAAAATAAAATATTAATGAGGTATACAAATATATTTATTAAAATATATTTGTTAAGTATTTATACATCATGGCAGTTTTTGTTTTACTATTAATTTATTGTAACTTAAATAAATTTAAATTATTCTATTTAAATACAATAAATAATAAAAAAAAGACCTGCTCAAAATCATTTTTTTTGATCTAGTCAAATAAAAGAATCGGTAAACAGACTGCAGTGAAAAAAAATTTAATTGCCACATGGAAAAACTCCCATTCCTGTAAACCTTTCAATCAAGCATTAAATAATTTAATGAATAAAAATAACTTAATTAATGAGAAGAATATACAGTGGGTACGAAAAGTATTCAGACCCCCTTAAATTTTTCACTCTTTGTTATATTGCAGCCATTTGCTAAAATCATTTAAGTTATTTTTTTTCCCTCATTAATGTACACACAGCACCCCATATTGACAGAAAAACACAGAATTGTTGGCATTTTTGCAGATTTATTAAAAAAGAAAAACTGAAATATCACATGGTCCTAAGTATTCAGACCCTTTGCTCAGTATTTAGTAGAAGCACCCTTTTGATCTAATACAGCCATGAGTCTTTTTGGGAAAGATGCAACAAGTTTTTCACACCTGGATTTGGGGATCCTCTGCCATTCCTCCTTGCAGATCCTCTCCAGTTCTGTCAGGTTGGATGGTAAACGTTGGTGGCCAGAGTGCTCAGGACCTCAGACTGGGCCGAAGGTTTATCTTCCAACAAGACAATGACCCTAAGCACACAGCTAAAATAACGAAGGAGTGGCTTCACAACAACTCTGTGACTGTTCTTGAATGGCCCAGCCAGAGCCCTGACTTAAACCCAATTGAGCATCTCTGGAGAGACCTAAAAATTGCTGTCCACCAACGTTTACCATCCAACCTGCCAGAACTGGAGAGGCTCTGCAAGGAGGAATGGCAGAGGATCCCTAAATCCAGGTGTGAAAAACTTGTTGCCTCTTTCCCAAAAAGACTCATGGCTGTATTAGATCAAAAGGGTGCTTCTACTAAATACTGAGCAAAGGGTCTGAATACTTAGGACCATGTGATATTTCAGTTTTTCTTTTTTAATAAATCTGCAAAAATGTCAACAATTCTGTGTTTTTCTGTCAATATGGGGTGCTGTGTGTACATTAATGAGGGAAAAAAATAACTTAAATGATTTTAGCAAATGGCTGCAATATAACAAAGAGTGAAAAATTTAAGGGGGTCTGAATACTTTCCGTACCCACTGTATATATATATATATTATATTTTATATATATATATATTATATTTATTTTTAAATAAAATGTAAAATATATAAACGGTGTTACCAGATGATATGAAATGAAAATTACTTTTTTTGTATTATAGGACATATATTAATATAATATACTTTTATTGATTATTATTATGGCCTGAAATGAGTCTATCATTGTGAGATTCTTCCAAAAGTGATTTAGAAGTTACAAGACAGCAAAACTTGCTCCAATTATTTCACTGATGGACAAGTAGCTGAAAACAACACCACAACACAGTGAACTTCCCGGACAGCTCAGGAACCAGCATTCACAACGACACCGGAGATCCAAAATTATCCTGCAAGACTGTCACAAAAATAATCGTGTGGAGGTGTCCGTCTGTCCGGAGAACAACTGCAGTTACCAGCCCTTTCAATCCGCATCAGTGTTCTTCAGCGAAACAGCCGAGCGTTTGTTTCTGACACTGAGGTCTGTGGGTGGAAAAGATGCTGAGCACCGGACGGCCGTCAGACTGATCTCTGAGATAACGAGCAGTCTATCCGTCTCAGGAAACAAATCCCTTCACTCGTGTGTGTCTGAATCAACATCCGTTCAAGCAAAGACACGGATCGGCCTTCGCTATAATCAAGGTCTGTCTGTGATAAACTCTGACCCGTTCCACAGTTTGGGCTCAAAGCAGCCTGTCGTCGTTGGATCAAGTAGACTGACATGGATTTGCTTCACAGTATGTCAAACATGCTGACTGATGAATGTACACTACCATTGAAAAGTTGGGGTAAGAAGAAATGTTTCTTGAGCAGCAAGTCAGCATATTAGAATGATTTTTGAAGGATCATGTGACACTGAAGACTGGAATAATGATGCTGAAAATTCAGCTTTGATCACAGGAATAAATTACATTTGACAATATATTCAGATAGAAAACAGTTATTTTAAATTGTAATAATATTTCACAATATTACTGTTTTACTGTGTTTTAATCACAAATGCAGCTTTGGTGAGCAGAAGAATCTTCTTTCAAAAAACATTAAAAAGATCTTAACAACTGTAAACCAAATGGAAGAACCTATTAAAACATTAAGTCAATTCATGAAGTGCCATCCATCTGCTATAAGATCTAGTCCTGACATCTGTTATACTATCTACTGTAAGTATGAAAATGCTAATGCTTCTAGCCATGCATGTTTGACTTTACAGTGTGTGCTGTTGCATTACAAAATATGAAAATAATTCATAATTCAATGCAAAGTTTCACGTCAGAGCTGCAACTCTAATGTGTATTTTAAAGCATCTGGAACACTGCATTTACAAATCTGCATCCATAATCCATAACTAAACTGTTTTATAATGTGAAATATGATTATGACATCTGCCTCAGGCATTAAGTTATCTGCAGTCCTTACATTAGATGTAATATCTCAATCTTCTACAAAACCATTAAGATTGTTGTTCTTGAAATTACTCACATTAGCCCAGCGAATGCATACAGCAGTCAGATCACACACACACACACACACACACACACACGGATTTCATTCTGGACCAGCAGCTGTTCTGAGTGTTGAACCCTTTCAGGAAAATATATCAGCATCAAATCTGATGCATTATGATTCTACGCATATGAGTGAACATCTCAAATGAACCAAAAATGCAAAATATTCACTTCACAGTCATACAATATCTAACTCACAGATCCAGCATCTGTCAACACATTTCATACCACTTTAGCCATGAAGAACATAACTTGAACGAGAACAAAGCATTAAAATAATCAATTATCAAAAGAGGCGACGTTATTTTTTTAAGGTTTTAAGGTACAGTGGTCACATAATAACTATACATGTTAAATTAAAGTAATGCTGTCTGTATATACTGTATAAAAGGGCCTGAACAACATGCAAGACATAAAACACATACATTGCTCTCAAAATGAGCCTAAATAATAAGCCAAATTAAAGATAGTAAAGATTCATTTGAAAAGAACTATATATATATATATATGAAGAGTTCAGATGCAAAAGCCTCTAAGTGCCGTCTAAAATTTGCATTTTTATCAAGCTACTATGTTTAGGTTCAGTAATTTTACTTTAATGGCAATGTATAGGTCATTTTCGATGCCATTAAAGTGAAAGAAATTAACATAAATAAAGGAGCCTGATAAAAATGCTAATTTTAGATGAAAACTTCAGATAGCACTTGGAGGCTTTTGCATCTGAACTCTTCATATATATATATATATAGTTCTTTTTTAAATGTATCTTTACTATCTTTAATTTGGCTTATTATTTAGGCTCATTTTGAGAGCCTAACATATATATAAAACACAATGTATAACAATATACAAATATTAATATGTACCTTTAAGGTACTAATATACACAAGTTAATGTGAAAAAAAAAATTGTAGTTTTGTACCTTAGGGTACATCCAAAGTGACAGCGTTGTACCTTTTTTTCCCTGAGATTATACATTTATATTCAGCCATTTCACAAAGAAAATAACATTGATTGCCATTAAAGTGAAAGTGCTTTACCTAAACATGGGAGCGTGATACAAATGCTCATTTTAGAAGAAAATTTCAGATGGAACTTAAGGGCTTTTGCATCTCTACTTTTCATATGCTTTCAATATACACAAATACTAATGGCATAATTTGATAAATTAGCCCTGTGCATTATAGGGAATAATATTCTGAATATTTTACAGTTGATTTGATAGCTTTATCTGAAACGGTGTCAGAGTTTAATTAATTTAAGTGGGTACAGTCTATAAAACATGACAAGTATGTATTCAGTACTGTATATAAAACAAAAAAGGTATAATATGAAAAAACAAGCCTTGTGCATTATAGGGAATAATATTCTGAATATTTTACAGTTGATTTGATAGCTTTATCTGAAACGGTGTCAGAGTTTAATTAATTTAAGTGGGTACAGTATATGAAACATATGAAAAAAAAATGGTTTCAGTACTGTATATAAAAACAATAAAGGCATAATCTGACAAACCAAGCCTTGTGCAATATAGGGAATAATATTTAGAGATTTCTACAGTTCGTTTGATACCTTTACCTCAAACTGTGTCAGAGTTTAATTAATTTAAGTGGGTATAGTCTATAAAACATGTGAAAAATATGTATTCAGTACTGTATATAAAAACAGTAAAGGTATAATCTGAAAAAACAAGCCTTGTGCATTATAGGGAATAATATTCTGAATATTCTACAGTTAGTTTGATAGCCTTAACTCAAACTGTGTCAAAGTTTAATTAATTTAAGTGGGTACAGTGTATAAAACATATGAAAAATATGGTTTCAATGCTATAAACAAAAACAGTAAATGTATAATCTGAAAAAACAAGCCTTGTGCATTATAGGGAA